TATATATAGTCACAATGACCTTCTTTGCAACGCTGGGTGATTTCGGGATAGACAGCTCTTTCAGAGCCAGTCCATTGACGAATAAGTGGTACGATTCAGTGTTTCTGTAAGTGGGTTAGACGCTACTAACTACTACTTGATCGTCTCTAAAGAATATTTCATAATAAATTATTCACATACCACCAGTACCTAATAATTTGTCTTCACAAATCTTGACATAAGAGAAATGATAGTAGAACACCAGTTTGAGTTTATTTTATTGGTTCTAGTCTAGAGAACAACCCACTCTCTATCTGGTCAAATTGCACAGTAGTCTAAAAGCACAGGTTAGGTTTTGGTAAGCTAAATATCGTATGGATCATGTATTTAGTGAATCACGAATAATTTAATAATTGATCAACAACAATAGAAACAGGAAAATGGAGATAAATTAGTGCCTTATGATCCGATTTGGATGGGAAGCAGCATCAAAGATGTAAGGCCTTGGTAACGCCAGTTTTTGAAATGATTAGATGTAGAACACCATTAGAGGTAAGTATGTTGGCAATAGTTTTATGTCAGTTATCATCGAGGTACCACTTCAGTTCCAGAAACAAAAGCGGATAGTATTTCTTGCCACGTATGGAGATTACTTTTGCCCTAGACCAGAATGTCAGTGCACTCCCGATCGAGCACCCATATGTCAAAAGTGTGCTTACGTCATCTGATGGCACATTGCATTTCAAGACGGCGTTGTAGGTTTTTTGAAAGAAAAATGAATCGGATGAACAGATATTACAACACAAACTAATTTGGTTTATTCAGTGATCGCAGAAGAGAGCACAGAGCGGTCGCAGCGACGGACTGTTCTGAATGATTTCTTCATTAACAGAGTGGAACGCTACCTGAATCCAAGCCCATTGCGTCGAGTGTGAATAAAAATGGGGGTATTTTGCATAGTAAAATGTCGAAGAAACTTTTACTTCAGTATATCACATGTCCCTTGTGAAAAATAATAGTTTACTTGGAATAAAAGAGTAAAGTAGACTAGCTCGAAGTCCAGACACGTAACACATTTGGTTGGAAAGATGATTGCATACTGAAAATCTGATGTGGTGTGAAAACGAATATTAATGTGGCAAAAGCGTCCAAAATGAGAGCTGCACACAGAGTAGGAGAAGTCAGTCCGAATTTCTGACGGATGTGCATCGTCATGAAAAAATGACCAAACGAAACCTCTATGTTAAGCTTATATTATTAGCACATGCACTATTATGGTCAGTGTAAAATAAAACAATGTTCATTGACCTACACTACTGATTCCTGTTCAATTGGCTAATATCTAAACATCAAAACTTTACAGGACTGGTAAAGACAAAATTAAAATCGATGAGACCTGTTAATGTCTTCGCGCAGTACGGACTTCTCACGTAAATGTTCCTTCCTTTGCAACCTTTCACATCGTTGCAGATGTTCCTAAATCAATTACTAAGTGTTATGCTTCACTAACTCTTTACAGAGTATCGGTGTTTCCTCGCTTAAAAATCGATTTTTCACATAACTCTAAACAGAGACCAGATAGTACTTGTTTTATCAGTGAGCTCAAATCCAGGAATCGTGACGTCAGAATCAATCGGGTGGATGAAGCTGCATGCATCAAACGGGATCTGATAGAATCGTCACAACAAACAGACTTGACAGTTATCAGATAGAAGGAGGTTATCAAGGGTTACCGTGAGAAGACTATAAAATTCAATGGTATTTTACTTTCTTAAATGCCCCTCAAATCATTGGTCTTAAATCAATTAAATTCTAGTACTGCACCTGATTTCTTCATGTTTTGACACACACAGAAGGAGAACAGTGCTTCGTGCAGTGCTTCCCATAACGGGCTGCAACTTCGCACATTACTTCAACGCGTATTTGCCATGCATGGAAATACGGCGACAATTTCACGCCGAACTGATCACTTCCAGAAAAAATGGTTTCTTTTGCCAAAGTTACCAGTTAAGCTAAATGCTCGACTTCAACCGATAAATGCAATACTATGCAGTTCGCTTAGATGTTCTGAGGGATTGCTCTCAAAAGCAACTTTTTCGGCATGGAAGGTGCATTGTCAGCTGAGTGGCTTGCTAGCCTTCTATGTGAAGCCCGTCACACCCCGTCAGGTAATTTGAACAGAATTTTTCAATCCTTCTTGGTCTCAGGGGAATCTATAGGCGCATCTGATCACTCTTTGTCATATTTCCATTAAAATTGCCTATAGAAAGTTCTGTCGAATCCGAACGGATTAGATTGAGAGCTACACAAACAATCAGACCATTGAACCAGTCTCACAGTTTGGCTGCGTCGTCGATTGCCTGCCATCTACTACAGACTGGCGATCAAACCGAGCGCGGGACTTCTTTTCGGGTTATTTACACAACCTCGAATGGACGGCTGCTAAGAGTTGCAGAGGCCATGGCAATCAAGCGCCGAAAGCCCCTGCTTTGTCAGCTAAAGGAGGTCCACATCAGTCAGGCATTGCACTGGTAACCACCTAAGCGGATTAGTGAATTGATATAATATTCAATTATCCACACGTGTGATATATGAACCGTTTTGTGTTCTGCACTTAACACCAGCTGCGATGCAGAGAAATGATTCCGGAATTAGCTAGTGCTCGGTTGCAATGCTGTGTTCTTTGTTCAAGTTTATTTCGGGAAATAATTACTTTGAAGTTCATTTTATCTTTTCCATGGTTGTCCATGCGAGGTGCATGAAGTTACCCTAACAAAAGTTACCAAATGGATGAATGATGCTCCAAAAAGATCTCCGGTAAACACTTTGGTTGCCTGTGGTTATTAAATACTAATCGAATTAAAGAGACTCCAAGCGTTTCATTGTAGACGAGTAACCGTACACCGAAATGAGCTGATTTAATGAATATCCTACACATGCTACCAGCGGGAATTCTCGATCAAAAGATAGCTGGGATCGATAACAATTGTAGCTCATGACCACGAGTGATTGACGGAAAAAGGAAACTAGCCAGGCAATCAGGATCAGAGGTAAACCGGGAATCGAAGGACTAAACGATCTTCGAGAAAGCACAANACAAGCTTCAGTGACATTAAGATTTATATTCTGTTCACATTAATTCTCAAGCAAACGATGTCTGTTTGTGTGTAGATGCAAAACCTGGAGTAAAATAGATATGATCTTGCAAGTAGTATCCTGATATTAGCTTGGATTTCTGCTTACATTGACCAAGTAAGTTTTCAGAAATGAAAATGTAACTAGCATTTGATTCGACTTATTGGATTATCCAGAACAACAACTGTCTTCTGATAAGAGAGTACAATCTGGGGTTCAGAATGTGTCGACTGAATATTCTTAACCAGGAATACCTTCGATTAAATGCCGCATACTTGGAGGCAAATTCGTTCGAGACTGAGTTGTTCAGTACAATATATCCCAGTTGAAATGTAAAAGCGGCTATCATTCATGGCTTTTGGGATATTATTAACACCTATTAGCACCGAATCTGCATATTCTGGATGACTGATCATTCACATTTAGATGTCCCAACACACAGATGTTTGTGCCTACGATTACCGTTTCTTGTCTACAAATAATGCGTAGACAAATAGAAAATAATGGGTTGAATAAAAACAAAACAAGAGAAAAGGAACAAAACTCAAGGACCCCATAATACCTGGGGTCTAATATTAGTTCTAAAGCAACAGAGTCATCCCGAGCTAACCGACACGTGTGTTGTAACAAAAGCATAACAGGACCTCACATTTAGTGAGGTACAATCTTCCGACGGAGACAGACTTGGCTGACTTTCAATAAAGCACCTATAGTTCAGAGCTACTGGTATTATTTGCCGTGTTTGAACGTGTTCCGCTAGTGATGGATTCCACGCTCGAGTGAGTTCTTACTTTCCATCCGCTAATTTGTTAGCAGTTCTGACATCTGCTACACATAAATTAAATGAGAGAAATGTCATTCTATTTGATCTTCTTCCACACGCTTACAACAGTGTGTAGAGGATTTGATTAAGCAGCTGTTATCGCACACTAATTTCCAGTTATTTACTCATTGGAATGTAGTTGAAACCCTTCACCCCTCAACTCGCTAGAAGTACTGGATAAGTGAATAGATAGCAGCTAATTCCAAACCATAAAATATTACACATGTATTCATAAACTTTTGTTTAAGATTGAGATGGATTTCAATTTGATAAACAGTGAACTGCTAATATAAGTCAGTTATTTCATTCGCCAGTTTCATTCTGCGTTCCCTGGTTTTGTGTTTTCAGGCTGCTTAAGTCATGACTCTTATCTATACACTCTTTACAACACGGTAACACTGTAATCCGCTCTGATGTGATGTGTGATGTGTGATGTATTACTTCATCTTTATTGCAGGCCCCATGCAGATTCTTATGCAAATTCATGGCGCTCCACGGGTAGCACGAACAATGTAAGTTTTGGCACCTTTCCTCTGTTTCCTCCGCATAAGGTCTAATATGTAGCTAAGCGACCAAAAATTGTCGAACTCTTGATGTGAGTAATCAGTTGGATTTACATGTCCCGTGGTACAATAACGAATGAAATATAATCATGCCAATTTTTGTGTCTGTCTGAACTGTTGAGATCAATCAGCGACCCCCTGTTGTACTGCGCAGTGACACAATACAAAAGCGGCGGGAATCAGCGTCTTAAAAAGCAGTCTGGAAGATATTTAGTGGGTTAGCTGTCGGATCACGGCTGCTAAGTTGTCAAGATATAAGGCTCACTCAGTTCCGTAGTCACGGTGATACAGGTTGTAGAATGGATTCATTCGTAGATGTGTTTTTGGCCGTCGATGCTAATCAAAACGGGACAATCACACTACGTGAGTTGTCTCAATATGTGGAAAAACATCGCTTGGATCCGATTATGATCTCAGTAAGTCCAAAATCGTTTGTTTTGTGAATACCATTCACATTTTTATAGACGTATATCAGTGAGGTACAAAAGTGTTGCTCTTCACATCACATTCAGAATCCACTTGGTGTTGTCTTACTCAAGAGATGTTACTATTATCTATGTGTATTTTTGAGTAAGCATGGAACAATATCTAAGTTGATGTTTTGTGCGTTGCATCTGGAAGAAAAATACCCTTGCGGAATGAAAAGAGTTTCAAAGTTTTGATGAAAAGTCTCTAAACAGTGCAAAGTATGATTTAGAGCATTGTATGGATTAGTTGTGACTACCCGTAGGGTGTTGGGACTGTTAGTTTACCAACAGTGGCTTCCTGGGAAATAAGGCACTGGTTCATGTTATGCTACCAACCGGTACTAAAACTACGACGCATCTCCTTTGCAAATAAACCGAGTACATAAAACAGGGTTTAGTAAAATCTGGTATACTCAAACCTCCATTCACCCACCCCCGGACCCTTTCCTTTTCACATTTTCCATTCCCATTCACAGCAATGGATGAATTTGTTCGATCCGAACAATACCGGCCGCATCACGTTGGGCAAGTTTTGTGAAGTGCTCGGACTGCAACCGGCTGAAGTGTAAGTTATGAATTCTTCTTCGATTTACTTTGTCCCTTCCTTGCCGTTTTCAAGTGAAATGAATGCACACAGGTCTATACGAGTTTAGGTGTCTGCACTTTTTGAAATTGTCCAAACTCCCCGATACTTGTTTAACCGTATTGTTTAACCGTAACTGGTAGTTTTGGTTATGTTTTCATGTTGAAAAAATGTTATAACTGTGGGTTAGGTGCGATTTTCAGCCCACAGAATAAATTGAGAATCCATGTTATGCAAAGAGTTTCCAGTATTCCAGATTTCTAAATGGGGTCGTTGGTAGACGTGCATAGCACACAAATCACTTATGGTTATTGAAAATAAACACTTTCATTATAGATGACAACAATTTTAAAATATGTTGCACTAAACATGGGAAATGTGCTTTAAAGTTGACTGAATCATTAATGGAGGCTGTTAATTCAGTCGCATTTGATGAATCTTTCAGGGCTCTATGCTGACAAAAATCGGCTGAAGAGCCCTTTTCAAGTGATGTCAACATAATGCATACGCATCTATCACTGACAACTATTTTGATTAGAGAGAAAGATAGGTTATACCTTATAAGGGTTCCACCATGATTGAAATGCGACATGTTTAAATATAGTCTGAGCATCGTTTTTTCATCCATTGTGTGAGCCTAAACAAACTATGTTGGGGCCAAATGTGTTAATAATGGCTTTTACAGCATCTCGGGTTTCTTAACTCGTAATTTCCGTCTACATGCTAGGTGACTTACGAAAGCAATGAAGACGACGAACTACGCGCCTTTGTAAACAAGTCAACTGAATACAAATGAAACTTCTGGCACAAGCGGCTACAGATGGTAAACTGTTTGGAAACCATGTTATTTTTAATAGTTTTACAATCCCAAACACAACCATTACATTATCCACTATCCTTTTGAATGTGAATCTATTTAAATATGTTGATGAAGCGTAAGCGTGCCCATCATGCAAGTTTCAAAACCTACGGGAAGCATGCACTGTTTTGTTCCCTGCATTCACATTTTATTTTCCCAACAGGAAAGAGAAATGGGGCCGCAGTCCACAATTGGGTTCTGATATTCACGTGATCTTGGACCAAATGCCCATGAACAATCAGCTGAAGCTTGTGCAAGAGGCACGTCGCTTGGCTAAAATGACCACCTCCGATGACCGGACGTATCTGACACAACAGCTGAAGCGTTTTGCAGACGAGAATCTGGGCGGTTCTTGGCAAGTTATGATAGTAAAAGGTGCTTACTGGATCACATTCACTCATCTGCCGGATAACTCATTCCACTTCCACATGGACGATTATTCCTATTTGTTCTGGAGATCCGCTGAACAATTAGAATGAAGAACAATGTCCGGCCGCTTTCCCTCACCCCAACAGTTCGACCTCATTCTGCTTTACACATGCATGCATACCAACCATTTCATTCTATGGCAGCCACCGACCTTACAATTGTGTAATTTTCTCGAAAGAACGAAATGCATATCTCAGTCTACCCATTGGTGAAATTGTGTAAAAAACGTCGACCTGGAATCTAGTTATTGCATCAAGACCATTTTTTCTACACGCAGCGATTCTCATTCTTCATAATGGTTACTGAGTGCCACAAAAAGGAATGAAAAAGGATAATCCTTACATTTGCACAAATTATTTATAGCTTTATTGAATTGATACGCTAGATATAAGTTCTTTTCCAGTTACTTAGATAACTTTGACAAGCAATTTCACAACGTATATTTCATGTGAATGAAACCATTCAGTATATTTGCGTCCCTTCAGTTTTGCGTTTGAATGTATATAAGCTGGAAATTTTGTGTCCAAAATACAGATGATCTGTTACAGTATGACAATGTCAGTGTGTCTTCCTCAGACACGTTTCGGGTTTCTCTATATTTGCATTTAGACTAGACATGTTTGATAGCTAATCTACCCAGTTCGTTCAGTCAATTTATGCCCCACTAAATGAATTGAGGATTAGACTGTGAATTGAAATATACTCAATAGAGATCAATAACGCTTGTGCAACACTTAATATTGTTTGAGAGTTGAATCCAACTTCCTTATCCCTGTTGTCCGACTCGAAAACGTTCTCTGTAATGAACCGAATTGTATCAGACGAATGAAGATTTTCTTGAACTTTCTGTACCGTGCCAGAGCGAAGGATTTGAATCGTATTGCCGTGACTCCTTGGATTTACGATCTTCTAGTGTTTGAAACCACAGAGCAATAAGAATTCCATGGTATTGAACAAACAAACAATAAGCTCCGAGATCAGACTAAGCAGAAACCCTTTTATCAGATTTTTGTCTAACGTAAATCCCAAATAGCATTTTTGCCTATTCCATTTAACAGGAGAACTAAACTATTTTTCTATCAAATTTTTTTAGTGAAGTGCCTCAATTTGATGTAACGTGACCCAAAATTAAAGGGTGAGACCCAGTTATTAGGTACAGATGATTACCTGAAGCCCAAAAGGTGAACCCGTTAAACGATTTTTAGGTTTACGGCTCATGGTTGTACCCTCACTCCTCAATGGATTTGAGAAAAACAACCGTATCCGATTGCCCCTGAAAGTAACCAGAATATCTTCTATTTTGCCAATTCTCTTCAGCGATAGAGATGAATTGTTTTTCAGTTGGTCAGCTTTGCTTATTCGTGAATATGCATGTACTGCCAATAGCACCAAAGTGGATCAAATTTATAGCGCCATATTCACGTTCATAAAAAATGAGTAAAAATAATCCACAATCTGAAATATGGTATTGTACGTGATACCGAACTGCATATTCACTGGAATGTGTAGTCCAAATTTGTCTAAACAATAGGGTTTATGGTGACAGAAATTCCTCCTTACTCAGTCGTTATCCTGGCAACAAACAATCAAAGTCTGTGAAATTCCTGCAATATTTCATGAGGTGGAATCGGAGTGCTAATGAACCGAACAAAAATCGTTAACCTGTATTCGATTAATTATCCCGGGTAGTTTTGACTATTCTGATGAAACTACTGTGACGCCTTCCCTCATTTGGCTTTCGAAAGCATTCCAGTCTGCCAAAGCAATACCTTTATGCCAATGGCCACCAACTGGAACCAGTGAGGCCAATAAGTTCAAGCAAGTGAAGATGATCTGCAATGATCGGGAAGGGGATATGACCACATTAATAAGCATAGAAATCAATCCTTACTTTCGAAAATCAAAATCTCACAATTTCACAATCCGGTGTAAGCTATCTAGTGAAAGCTTCTGTACTCAGGGATGCTGAAGGTTAAATGTCGGTGAACTAGTGTTTTTTAGTTATTTTCTTCCTTCTTGAATATACTAACCCGAATTGAAAGAAATAAGCAGTAAATCTCTGACAACAAGAACTTATTCTGAAGGAAGCACCTCAGATAACATGATTTTAAAACGGTCTCAGTGCCAACAGAACGGTGAGAATACTGGTAAAAGACGGAAGTAGACTATGTTGATTTAAAACAATCATCCTACAATTGAGAGTTCAAAAGAAATCGAACTGAGAAATATAAAGGCTACTCTGCATACTTCATCCCACGAACTTCCATCACATAAAATGTAATGCTTTATAAGCCTGAAACCGGGACAGCGAAAACATCACAATGTTCGATGTCGATGTCGATGTCATACTGCTTATGTGTTCAAACTACATCAATATTCTGTTGTTAGATGACAGCATACTTCTTTTGTTTTAGGACCACTCCTCTGCGTTTCCCTCTGTTTTAACTACATCCAATTCCCTCAGCAAGCTTAATTGGGGCTGGGAGACCCCCCCACTCGTGTACATGTAATATCACGCCAGCAGCTCAGACAAGATTCGGAAAACCATTAACGGCACGTTCATCAACACTGAACTCTGTCAAATTGCTGCTTGCTTGTCTGTTCCGCAATTCGTATTACTAAAGGTTTGGTACCTACTGGTTCGCTGCATGGTACACGGGTGCTCAACCAGCAGCAGAGTTGGTAAATTCGGAAGTAAATCGAATCGGTTTGGCTTTACTTGTGGATGACAAACCAGTTTAATCCCCTCCCCCCTCCCAATGGCATGTAGACTTCGGTAACTAGTGAACAACTACTAGCGCACTAGTGTATATGAAAAATCAACTGTATAAAATTTGGGTTCTATTCTTACCTGATTGAAGAATATTTTATGACATCGGATTATGCCGGAAACGAATGTGAAATAAATTCATCTTCACTGAATCCTGACATATCGCGTTCAAGGAGCCNGAGCCGTTAAGTTATCATACCGATGCAGATGATTGCCCCACTCGCTATACCTGAGTGATTGAACAAGAGTGCCCCGGGAGCACACGGCAAGTATTGAGATAATTATCTGTTTATTGTGCGCATAAGTCCAACCAGTGGTGTCACGTAATAGTCAAACCTATAACCCTTAATGCATAGCTCTTCTCCACAGGTAGTATTTTTTCCGGTGAAATTCCAATCGATCAGCTCAATCCACAATTATAACTGTTTTATTTTATGCAGTTACTCATCTCCCCCATATTGGAACTAAATACGGAAATTCCATGAAGTTACTTCTGTTGTGGTATCGCTAAAAGTACCTTTAGCATTTCAAAGTATTTAGGTCAAACAGAGCAAGTGTGCACACATGTAAATCAATGAACCACCATGTAATACCAGCTTTGAATGCCACTCAGATGTGAACGTTTCAAGAGGAAACTACTTCAGGCAACCTATCACCTTCGGTAGAAACTCAGTTGTGCTCACGGGAATTTCCTGTTTACGGAACACGACTGCTGCACTGGGCTCGAAAGCAGAACACAAGTTTAACCATGCATCATTCGAATAAGGTTAGTTCATGACAGAATCACTTTGAAGTACATTCGCATAGGTGAAAAATCAAGCTTGGTTCGTAGTCATCGCATTTACCCACGACACCACTCTAGCACTCTTAAAGCTGTTATGTGATAAATGAAAAGAACTCAACATAGTTCACGATCGAACTGAATATAAAAGGTAAATTGCCAGTTGCTGATTGCTAGGTAAAGCTGGGAAACCACTATTTCAATAATTGGTATGAAAGATAGTACACTGAACAGAGATAAGTACATAGGTATTCCTTTAAAGTTTGAAAAATTATGAACACGATAATCATGATACATAAATCCAGCAGGGTAAAGTTTGAAATAAAGAAAACAATGCAAAAAGGATTTCACAAGATTATTCGGCACACCATAAAACCAAAGGCAAAGAACACAGTAAAAAAGTGATCCAATTTATTAGAAAAAGTAGTTTTCTAACTATTATAAGGAAAATGTTTCATAATATGATACATTGGAACATTAATTTCCCGAAGATAAAAGTCCAGAGTGAGCACAACAAAGCTAGGTTGCACGATTTATGCCAAGACAGATGTCGCTGCATCTCAACTAGTACAAGGCAGCAGAAAACTGCAGGTTCTATCATTGAACGGTACATCACGTTACACAAAAATACGACAGGGACGAATCAACAAACTTTTACCACTGCCAAGGCAGGGATAGTGTGACTGAGAATTCCTTATGCACATACAAGTCAGGTTTCCTGATAGCAACCGACACCGCGAAACCAAGTAGCCGGAGGTTGGGATTGGCATAGTATTGCAACCAATCGAAGAGTGAAACCAATTGTGATTGGATGGTGGTGATGATTGTGATTACTCTGGGGCCAGCTTAAGTCGAGAGCTTGGGACAGTCGCTTTTGTGCGAGTCGCTCTGGTGCGAATTGGGGGAGAGAAATTATCGAATCAGCGATGGCTACTGTGTATGGGCGTACTCTTTTAGAGGGGTTTGGGCACACAGGATGGATAAAACTGGATGTGGATTCTGGTCTAATTCAATGATCTGTTTCCAATGTATGACGAGGAATGGTGCCTCCTCTATTCTCGGACCTTATTGTTTAATCAGCGTTCCTTTATTCGTTGGGATGATTGCCTCGCCGTATGGCCAGTATATTTTGCGTTACAAACGCACCGGCAGGAGTGAAGAATCACAGAAGTCATAGAAGCCCATCTTCATGACTGGTTCGGATGATGGGCGAGTCTGTGAACATACACGACAATCGGGCTGCATTGTAGGTCCGTTTCACTGCACATGTCAGACGTTTGTTCAAGAGATCAGATATCGCATCTCCTTGAAAAGGCAAACTGATGAATAATTTCTTCTCTTGAGTCTCGTGAACCGGTTCGGATACTGGCCTTTCTGGGAGTTTTCGATGAACCGTTCGGGAGAACGTCCGTATTGTTTGTTGTTTCTTCATTTAACACAATGAACTATGCGCACAGAAGCGACTTGTTCCAGTTCACCACTTACTCTGACCAGTCATT